AGCCTTTTTAGAAACACCTGACCAGGCTAATTAAAATATGCCAATCACAATTTTCACTATCAGCACTGGTTTCTTCATGAAAAAGCGGCTACACTAATTACTAGGGGTGTAACAATACAGCAAAAACCGTATTGCAATATATTGCCATTTTGCTGAAACGTATTGCAATATATTGCAATACGTATTGTCGTGTATATGTTTTGATGTAAAGATGGAGTAACATTTATATATTATTATTATATGTATATATTTTAGTAGACACTTAATAAAAATGTAAGGAATAAATAGAAAGTAAAGTGTCTCACAATTTGAAAAACAAAACTAGTCGCGTGTGACCTTTCACATCTGGGCCGCTTATGTAAATTATGCGGCCGCTTATTGACTTTTAAGTGTACTAGTTGTCGGATACTTTTATCTTACGTTGGCGCCAACAAAATTAGCCAATTAAAGATTTTATGTGAAATTTGTACAAAATTAGAAGGCAAATAATTGAAAAATATGATTTTTATAAAATACCGGTTTTCCAAAAATCGTACCGCGGTACGAAATTAATTTTTTCATATTGCAACATATCGGTATACCGGTAAACCGTTACACCCTTACTAATTACTGCCGAGTAAGAGCCGATTTGCAGTTATGATTAAATAATACACTATGATTTTACGTAATAAACAACAACAATCTGCATTTATTCTTTATTCATCACTCATATAAAACTTAAAGATAACAAACAAATCATTATCAAAATAAGTAGAAAATATAGACATACTTGTACAATATATAATATTCATTAATGACATTTGGGTCAAAATTTAATTATAACAAAATATTGATGATAAAAACACTTAATATATATATGAACCATGTATTCTTTGCCTTTAATTACTATATAACATAAGATCTAGGAAACCACTTTCGCACCTCTTTTGATAAATTAAGTTCGCCAAACCTGTAGTTCGACGAAACCACCACAATTCTTACAAACAATCTGTCGACACAAGTTCTCCCCTGAGATGCTTTGTCAGATAGATTTTATACAAAATAAGTCTCGACTGATCGTAGTGACAGGCTAGACCATACTAGCTTGGAAGACGAGACAGACGACGAGGTTGATATAAAACCCACTGCACGAGATTGGACAGAGATGGTGAAGGTGGTGAAGGCGGCGACAACGGTCTTTGCTGCACATAATGACAGAAACATCAGAAACATGGGTCTTTGTCTGTGGTGAGTTCAGTTCCCATGAGTTAAAAATAATTCTTAGTCGTAAAATTTTTTCGGGATTATAAATAACAAGAGAACTCGATCAGTTTCATCTGGTTTTATTGTATATTTTTTTTTTAAACCAAAAAAAGACAGTTTGAATAATTTATTCCAATGTGTTTGCATATCTAAATTTGTTCCAATATATTGATGTATCGTTGATATTTATTTTGATAGAAATTTTGATATATCGATACAAAAATTTCTATCAATGACAGCCCGAAGGCCTAAAAAAAGAAAAACCCTGTATTTCAGGGAACCAACCCTACCTAGTAAAAGTCACCGACCCTAGAGTTTTTTTTTTCACATGTCCAATAAAATTTCAAAAAACTAAAAATATCTAATAATGACCTATTTGATACAATGTATTAAAAACAAAATTACTTGAAAGATATTGACCCCATGTGACCAAATTTTGACAAGTCAAATAAACAGCAGTAAACTTTGTCTTCAAAAAGATGCATCAGCATTGGAAAATTTTGCCGTAAATTACAAATTAAAAAAAATTGGTTTACAATGCCTGATAAAATTGCAGATGAATAACAAATCAAAAATACTCATAAAATATTTAACTTGATATGATCAAAATCAACAACAGCTAGAATTGCGAGTATTTCTGCAGTAAATAAACAAATTCTCAATTGTCACATATTTTTGCGATGCCGATTTTTACGATGAAAAAAAATAAAGTAACCAAAAGGAAAAGTTTGTTTTGTTCAAATGTGTCCAATAGCACTTAAAAAGGAGTTTATTAATTAAAATTACTTTTAGTATTGATAACATTAGTCTCCGTGGTCGATGGGTTAGAGTCGATGACTTCTAATCCAGTTACCTCTCTGGCGTTGGTCGATCCCGGGGAGATGCTTTAGTAGTTTAGCACGGAGTAAGGTAGTCTTGTACTGGTGTAACTCTCCAGGAACGATGGTTAGGAAAATACCCCCCTATATACTGTTGGGAAAAGGCATAAAATGAAACAGACAAACAAACAAACATTAGTCTAGATTGAGAAATTTGCCAGTATGTGTTGTAAAATGAATAAATTTTTAAGGGAGGAGGGGGGTTTGAGTTAATCAGGAAGAAAACAGTGTACAGTAGCAGGGCCTTTTTACCCTTATGTACTGTAGCCGGTATTCGGCTACTTCCCCAAGCCAACTTACTACCTTTTTTCCCCAAAAAACAGTCTAAAATTCCCCTTCTTGCAAAGATTTTCCCTTTCAGAGAAATGTTACATCAAAGAAAAAAACTTGTTAACAAACTTTCTTGTTTAAAAATAGATCATTGTTTTTGTCCAATGAAAGCTAATTACAGTGTAACTTCCGAATTCCGGAACGTCTGAAATCCGGAAACTTCTAAAAACCGAACATTTTTTTCGGTCCCGATTTTTTCCCTTCTATTTTCTATAAACATAATACTTCTGAATTCCGGAACTTCTAAATTCTGAATTCCGGACGATATTTTCATTAAATTGGAGTCAAATCAATGCAATTTTACCTCCAAAATCCGGAAATATCCTAAGGTGTGAAATACATTGTAAATCGAAAATGTTTACCCTGCAGGAAGATTTAATCTCCCTATCGATTGTTTACCAATTAGCGGTGATCGTGTAATTTGACACACGTTAAAATCACAAACTGTGAAATGGTATGTTTGAAATGATTAATTTACGGCGGTCAGTTAATTTGAAGTGTTTATTAGCGGATTAAATGACAATTAGTTGGGACAATGTATGCATCAAACGTCTTTAGGGATTTTATTGCATTTGATGTACTAATTAATTAACTAGCATCGGACAATATGTAAGTTTATGCAATTAACAACATTTCTACAAACTGATAGAAATTCAAAGGCATTTGCAGTATTAAATAAAGTGTTAAATATAAATGTTTTCTTTTCCTTCACATCTTTATTTTGATTAAAAGACTATTTTATATGATATTACAGTAATGGCCACATTTTCCTTGACATTTAATGACATTTAGTGGCTTAGTCTTGTCCACATTATCCGAAACCTCTGAATTCCGGAAACCTCTGAAATCCGAACTTTTTGACAAGTCCCATGGGTGTTCGGTTTTCAGAAGTTACACTGTATTCAATTACCCACTAGAGGGATACCTCAAATCAAGAACCCTCACATGTCATACGTAAATTTTCTATAATTAGGAAATATGAGTTAATGTATTCTTAGGCAAATAAAAAGTGGCAATAAATTGATCTGTAAAAAAATCCCTGTAACTTATGTTGGACAGAAAGCTCCTAAAATAAGTGTGTTTGGGGGAAAATATGCAAATATATTATGATATTTCCCCCTAATGTATGATTTAAATAAGTCTTTATTCATAGTAATAACGGTTAAACTGCCAGTGGAAAATGTGATTTTTTTCCCCAAAAGTATTAAAACCGCACATTTTTTCCCCACAAAAAGGGCTTGGGCGCCTTCCCCAAAACTAGTGAAAAGGCCCTGAGTAGTCTTATGATACAGGGTTTTAGAAATTATATTAAAAATATTTTCAATCACAAAACATGCAGTGTTTCCCATTTGGAACATGTATATTACCATTTTTCTAAATAAGCTTTGTCAGCCAGTGACACCCCCTTACTCTGCTTATTCATCATATTCATCAACTATAAAAATGCAGGAAAGGCTGCTTAACATATTCAACGCGATTTGGTATTCCCTTTTCTGGTTTGGGAGTATCAGGACTCCTATTTTGAAATTCCTAGTGAGAACCCTATGGTCCTCATTTTGCTTTGTTTCTTCATTGAAAAAATCTGGAAACAAAGTAATCCCTCGGAAGCATGAATCACAACAAAATTACATAAGAATTGCAGACTCGGTTTGATTGAGTCTGTACAAGAGGGATAATGAATAAGTGCAACATTCCTAATGCCCCCTAGCACCATCTTGATTGATAATCAATTCTCAACACTTAATAGTGCTGGCATCAATGATCCGGAAGGACCAGAAAAATATTACGACACTGAAGTGAAGTACGGGGGCAACTTTTTACAGCTGCCACACAGCACTTGACACCTGCGGTTGTGAAGTATAAAAATCTGGAAACCAAGTGATCCCTAGGAAGCATGAATCACAACAAAATTACATAAGAATTGCAGACTCTGTTTGATTGAGTCTGTACATGAGGGATAATAAATATGTGCAACATCCCTCACGCCCCCTTAGCACCGGCTTGAGCGGTACTCAATTCAGTACTTAATAGTGCTGGCATCAATGATCCCGAAAGACCAGAAAAATATATAACAACACTGAATCAGTTACCTCTGGCGTGGGTTCGATCCCCAGAAGATGTTTTGCTACCCGCCTTTATGACTGAAATACTGTTGGGAAAAGGCGTAAAATGAAGCAAACAAGCAAAACAAACAAACGAAACATCAGGTGCGATGTGTCCAATACCACCACACTTGCGGGAGGTCTATGACATGTCTTGTGGCAGCCTTGATGAAAATCAATGAACTCAGTTGGTGCAATTGCTTATTGAATTTCAAGATGTTTTTGCCAAGAGTGAGTTTGATCTTGGTAACTTCACTGACGTAGAACATGTCATTGATACTGGGGATGCAAGGCCTGTAAAGCAACGTATGCGGCGTACGCCGGCATGCTTTGCAGGGGAAGAAGAGGCCCATCTTCAGAAAATGCTGGAGGCAGGAGTCATACAAGACTCTATATCAGATTGGGCATCCGCTCCAGTTTTGATCCGTAAACGTGACGGCTCTGTGCGCTATTGCATAGACTATAGGAAATTGAATGAGGTTACAGTCAAAGACGTGTATCCTCTGCCTTTAGTCGATGATTGCATGGACACAGTTGCTGGCAGTGTTTTGTTTTCAAAATTGGATGCCAATTCTGCATACTTCCAGTTAAAAATCCAAGAAGAAGACAGGAAAAAGACTGCCTTTATTACAAGGTACGGTCTTTTCGAGCATGTTTACATGGGCTTTGGTTTGTGTGGCGCCAACACCACATTTGCCAGAGTGATGAACTTAGTTCTCAGAGGCTTGATATGGAAGACTGTCCTGGCATTTCTAGACGATATCATCATGCTAGGATGCAATTTTGAGGACCATCTCTCAAACTTGCGTGAGGCCCTTTCGAGATTTCGGAGGCTGAAGCCAAAGGAATGTATCTTCTTCCAACAAGAAGTAGAGTTTCTGGGCGGAAAGGTGAGTAAAGAAAACATTGCTATGACCAAACATGACATAGCTGTTGTGACTGATTGGCCTGTTCCTAACAGTGCCAAGCAGGTAGAGAGGTTTATGGGGTTGGTAAACTATCATAGAGGGTTTGTAAAGGACTTCTGTAGGATAGCTGCCACATTGTACCCCGCCACAGGCAAAGCCAATTTTGTCTGGGGCGAAGAACAAGCAGTCATTCAGAACTTTGAAGAGCTTGTTGACGCAACCTCCAGTGTTGGCATTGCCTAACCAAACTGACAGCTTTATCTTTGATACGGATGCTTCCAATGGATCGATTGGAGCAGAGCTCTTGCAGGTGCAAGATGGCCAAGAGAAGGTTGTCGCGTATGGTAGCTATGCTTTCACTTAGGAGCAACACAGGTACTGCGTGGCCATGAAAAAGCTGCTAGCAGTGGTTCGGTTCACAAGACAGTTCTGACATCACTTGTTAGGCAGACCATAATGGTTAGGACTGACCATTCCAGTCTGAGATGGTTAATGAACTTCAAGAAGTCACATAAGGGCAACTGGCGAGATGGCTGGAAGAGCTTTCTCAATTTAACATGGTTTTGAAACACAATGCAGGCCATGAGCACTCAAATGCTCACACAATGTCAAGAATACCTCTGCAAAGTGGGACATGTCGAGGCTTGATTGCTGGGGCACGGGTGGATCAGTTGCCTTGTGGTTGGTGTGTCTATTGTAAAAAGGCCCATGAAAATTTTTGTAGGTTTTTTACAGAAGTAGATGAGGCGGTACCATTGGTCATAAAACCAGGGGGGTCATTGCCCAGTTTTGAATGCTGGTTCAGGTGACCAGTAGGGTGCCGGTGTCTCTGCCATCTACAGGGAAAGGGATTTTTAAAATAACCTATCAGAAACAGAAACGGTCCTTACCATTGAGGTCGGTGAACATGGTCAACAGGGTCTCTCTGAAGGCCAAATCTTCAGTAGAGATAAAATCTGTGTTGAAAGTGGTTGCGAGAAAGACCAAACCTGGGACATCAGGGCCATTCCTGATCCCAGGGATGCATTAATGCTGGCAAAGGCTTTGGAGTATGTTTGATGGGACATGCATGGCATGTCTAGAGGGGATGAAGTTGCTAGCATTAATATAGTATCCACCAGGAGATCAAAGCTTGCTACCAATGCAAAGCATTCTGATCAGATGGGAGATGAGGAGAAAGATCTCCTACGGTTACTAATCCAGTGGACAGGTCAAGGGACAGTGAAGCCCTGCAAAGTTGGGGTTTTTCTGTGGAAAGCCTTGATTATGAGTTGAAGCTTGTTCTGGATTGGTTATGTGATGGAACAAAGGCTGACCCTTCAGCTTTGTTCCAGTCAAGTCCAGGCACCAAGTATTACTGGTTAACTAAGGGTTCGATGCTCTTGATTGCCGGTGTGTTATATCAAACTGATAAACATACTGATGACAAGAGGCTTGTTTTACCTGGTGTTTAAGGCAAGAAGCACTTGCTTTGAAAGCCCATGAAACAGCTCGCCAGTCCATGAATACCGCTTCAAATTGAATGAAGTGTAATTATGATTTAGAGATCTGGCGAGGGAATTGGATAAGCTCCAGTTCTATAGCAATTTATGGATCAGCCAACATGTCCATGAATTGCCAACTGCCAAAAAGCTGCAGTGAGAGCCAATGGAGAGCCAACAGGGACCTCCAAGGACATTCTCCTGGCTAATTGGACCCTTCAATCAAGGTGATTCGCTCCGACTGTGGAGCCAAATCCCACACGTCATCTGAGTCCGTTGCCCTTTTGGACGAATTTGAGGTGGAAGTGAAGTCTGGGGATGAGAGGAAGTTGCTGGCAAGTCTTGCCGTTCACCTCTCAAGCCAGTACCCCCTGTCAAAGCAACTGTCAGGGTCAGTTCCCCAAGGAAGTCATAGGCTGAGGACCATAACACAGTCTGCGGCTCCGAGGTCATACGCCATTGTGGTGACTTCAGGGCCTTCAGAAAGCCACAAGCTGAATGTGGTCGAGTGTCTCGGGAAAGGCCTCCACCAGTTCTGACCAAGCCAAAGGTCAGAACAGGAACTCTAAGGGTAGGAGAAATCTGAGTGGCCAAAGCACTCAGATCTCACACTATTCTGTGGGTGAGCGCCTTGACTGAAGAAGACTGGCACCGACCACTGGGGACCATAGCTCCGTCCTGAAGGAGAAGCACTCCAAGGTGGTGCCCTCCAGTGCTTTAAGGACATCTCGGTGCTGGGGTGTAGTGGGGACTTCACCCAGAAGCATGCTTAGTGGAGGCCCACCTCCTTGGCATCTTGGTTTTGTGTCAGTGGCGAAAGTGTTACCAATAGGAGGATAGGAGCACTGAAACTAGTGGTCAGGTGACTACTGGGGTTCAACAGCACTTTGTTGAATCTCATAGCCTATTTGGAGAGTGTTGGTGTGCCGGTTTTCCATGAAACCTGCACCAACAATCTCCAGAAGGTAGCGCATGAGTTCTGTAAGGCTCTTAGGGTGCCCATGCCCAAAGACCTCACTTCAAAGAAACATGGAAATGCTGTGACAGTATTGTTGCAGTGGCGTTGTCTTCTAGCCTTGGTTTCGATGCTGGAAATACATCAGGAAGACAGTTTTAAATCCATGTTAGAACAGTTACTGTCTCCTTAAAAGAAGGAACTCACTCTGAGTCTTTCGAAAGCATTTGACAGCCATTGTCATTTGGATAGGACAGGCAGAGAATTAGCTTTGTAGGTTCCATCATTGGCGGCCGCGAAGACTCTGAGTGAGGAATTCAAGGTCAAAGTCACGGGAGCAGCAACCATTTGATGTGACCCTGATAACTATCGGATTCACTGATCCAATGATGGGTAGATGAAAGGGTTGTTGTTATCTGTGGCATTCATCCCAAAACGGATGTCACAGATAAGAGGTTAGAGCGCTTGGCCAAGATTTTGGAAAATCCAAATGTTGCCGGCCTCGACGAGGTTGGAGTGGATCACACTAACGCGCCTGATACCTGGTCCAACCAGATTTTAGGCCTGGATAGGGTCCTGAACCTGCTCAAACCTGAGCATATCTTGGTGTTGCATATGCGCAGCATGTTGGGAAGTTGGGGATGAGACCATTTTGTCCCTAATGTACCAACTAGCTAGCCATCCAAAGGTTCAGAGGGAGCAGTTGTTACATCTCCACTGCTACTCTGGTACCAAGGCAGTCATGGATCGTTGGATTGAGCAGTTTTTGGGTTAACCTCCATGGTAAGACTGTTTAAGCCATTGAATCCTGACAAGATTGCTGCTGTCTGTGACATTCAGCCCAGCAGAATGTTACTGGGGACAGATGCGCCGTATTTTGCACCACAGGGTACAAACGTTCGACTCCAGCTTTGATCGGAACAGCAGCTGCCTGTGTCGCCCATATGACACATTGTCATTGGTGGAAAGTTTCCAGCAAGCCACTGCTAATGCAGAGCGCCTGTATCTTGATCGGAAGGCTCTTGCCTCTGATTGAGTACTTGGAGTGGCGTCCTGGCTGGAAGGATCCAGTCATGTAGGTCCTGTTGTCCAGCCCTCTGGCGCATGGGCGAGTACCAGTACTGGTTTGATTCTGGGAAGCTCTAGTCTGTCCTTGGACTAGAGAGGCGTCAGTGATGGGTTAACTTTCGTGAGCTACAGACCCCTCCTAAAGAATTGGACGGGGAGGAGTGTAGTACCGTAAGGTATAGGTTCCGGAGGTTAACAGAGGCTGACGAGTGCTCCGGAAGCAGTAGTTCTGAGCATACTGGAACTAGTGAGGTTAGTGCAAATGCAAGCTCAGTGATGCCATGTGGACGATCTATAGAAGACTGATTTATCTGGTAGATCCTGCTTAGCTACTGCTCATCCGAGGAAGGTAATTGCTTTGATTGTATTTACAACTCTTTGTAATCAATCTGCACAGCTTCTATATGTTCTTAAAATTTTGTTTTGAGTTTATTTCAATCATCAAGTTTAGTTCAAAAACTTATAAACTTTGAATGCATGTTTTACATTGTTTGTGAATATCTTGTTTATGTTCAGGTCATATTCAAAGTTTTGTAATGCTTATACATGTATTGAAGCCATCCGAAGCACATGGTTTTTGTGTCGCCTTGAAAAAGGCGACATATAGGGGTTACTTTTGTCGGCGTTGTCGTTGTCGGTGTCCCCTAAAGCTTGTCCGGAGCATAAGTCAGTCATTATAAGTCGGATTGACTTCAAACTTGGTATGCATGCTTCTTATAATGACCCGAAGTGCAGTGCACAAGAACCGGTACTCTGCACTTCTTATTTTTTGAGTTATTGCCCTTTGTTTATTTTCATACTTTATTTTTGTTCAGGCCATTTCTCCTAAAGTATAAAAGCTATGGACCTGAAACTTCATAGGATGATAGATCTCATTAAGAAAAAGTGCAGTGCACAAGAACTGGTACTCGGCATTTCTTATTTTTTGAGTTATTGCCCTTTGTTAATTTTCATACTTTATTTTTGTCCAGACCATTTCTCCTAATGACCTGAAACTTCATAGGATGATAGATCTCATTAAGAAAAAGTGCAGTGCCCAAGAACTGGTACTCTGCATTTCTTATTTTTTGAGTTATTGCCCTTTGTTAATTTTCATACTTTATTTTTGTCCAGGCCATTTCTCATAAATTATAAAAGCTTTAGACTTGAAACTTAATAGGATGATAGATCTTATTGATAAGAAGTGCAGTGCCCAAGAACTGATACTCTGCATTTCTTATTTTTTGAGTTATTGCCCTTTGTTAATTTTCATACTTTATTTTTGTCCAGGCCATTTCTCATAAATTATAAAAGCTTTAGACTTGAAACTTAATAGGATGATAGATCTTATTGATAAGAAGTGCAGTGCACAGAAACTGCTGTTCTGCATTTCTTATTTTTTTAGTTATTGCCCTTTGTTGATTTTCAAATTTCATTTTTGTCCTGGCCATTTCTCTTAAACTATATTGTTCACAAGGCGACACATCCGACTCGCGGAGTTCTAGTTGTGGAAAAATGGCTGCCATGATGCAATATTCTGACGATATCTTTATGCCCCCCTTCAAAGAAGAGGGGGTATATTGTTTTGCTTATGTCGGTCTGTCTGCTGGCCGTCGGAGACCACATGGTTTCCGCTGATTATCTTGAAAACTATTTATCACAAAGTCTTTATATTTCACATAGTGATTGGTCATAACTAGTAGATGACCCCTATGGATTTTGGGGTCACAAGGTCAAATGTCAAGGTCACAGGGGTCTTGAATGGTAATATGATTTCCGCTTGTTATCTTGGGTTACTATTTATCACAAAGTCTTCATATTTCACATATTGATTGGTCATAACTAGCAGATGACCCCTATTGATTTTAGGGTCACTAGGTCAAAGGTCAAGGTTACAGGGGCCTTGAATTGTAATATGATTTCTGCTTATTATCTTGGTTACTATTTATCACAGTCTTCATATTTTGTTATATCGATTGGTCATAACAATTTGATGACCCCTATAGATTTTGGGTCACTAGTTCAAAGGTATAGGTTACAGGGACCTGAAATGTCTCATTTTTTTTTTAAACTATTTATCACAAGGTCTTCATTATTTTTCATTTTTCCATAATTGAACATATCCATGTACCCATTTATGGCAAATCCGTGGCCGAGTGGTTAAGGTCGTTGACTTCAAACCACTTGCCCCTCACCGCTGTGGGTTCCAATCCCGACAGGGACTTTGGATTCTTTCATGTTAGGAAGCTATCCAGCTAGCTTACGGAACGTCTGTGGTTCTACTGAGGTGCCCGTTCGTGCCTGAAATAATGCACAGAAGGGCACCTGAGGTCTTCCTCCACCAGTAAAGCTGGAATGTCGCATTATGACCTATAACGTGTTGATGTGACGTAAAACTCAAAACAAACAAACAAAAAAATTATGGCAAGTATCTCTTACAAAATTACCATTAATGTGAGTCAAGGGCTAGAAAGGGGGGCATATGTGTCGTTCGACATTTCATGTTCAATTTTCTTTGTTTTGAATGACTAGCTTTGTATGTATTGTTGCTACAAATCAAGCTAAATGTATAGTTACTCTAAATGTGATAAAATATGATAAACAGGTGCCTGCATCCTGTCGCCTGCTTAACAGTCATGTTAAAGTCACTTGACCAATATGTCATAGGCGAAGTAGTTAAAGTTTAATTTAAGACTGATAGACACCCTAATATGATTAGATTCTATAATGAAATTATGAATTTTTTTTTTTCTTTGCAAAAGCTTTACCATGAGAAACCTTGGAAATGAATATAATTTTAAAGATTCTATTTATTCCAGTATGTTCAGTATGAAACTTCCAAACTGCCCGGCTGACTAACAGTATTCCTAAATAATTTTATATTTAAGGCACATTATGTCGCAGACGTTCATAATTTTCATTTATTTTTCTTAATTCTTTAGAAAATGAAATTTGATAATGTTTTAGTAATGGATTCAGGGCGATTGACATAAAATTAGTTATGGATTCGGAGACTCAGTATTTAACATAGCGATAGACCGAATGTGCAGTAATGCGTCATGAGGGAGGCAAAATGTAAACAAAGTATTTTGACTTCTATACAAAATACTTATTCACTATAATTAAATCTTTACCAGTTACCGGCATGGCGGGAGTAGCAAAGGGTTCATGCATACGGTCAACGAGTATTTTTCATGAACTGTAAATAAAATTTTTTAATTGATAACAAGAAAAAAAGTGATAGCATTTCTGTGGCATAGTGGGCCTTTAAAGTTAAGCTTGCCAATATGCAAGAAGTATTTTTATGCCAAATTGGCTTTTAATTTGCACATGTTCATGATAATCAATATGACATTTCCAACTTCAGGAGTTATGAACTGTATAATATTATATTAGTTTGATACTTCCGATTTCCGGCCCCGCCACAGGGGGTCATTGGTTTCCCTATATGCATATTGTAAAAACTTAAAAAATCTTCTTTTAAAGAACCCAAAGAGCTAGAGCTAAGATATTTAGCATGAAACATCTTCTAATGGGTGTCTACCAAGTTTGTTCAAATAAAAGCCCTGGGGTCAAAATTAGCCCCGCCCCAGGGGGTCATTGGTTGTTCCTATATGCATATAGTAAAAATTTAAAAAATCTTCTTTTAAAGAACCCAAAGAGCTAGAGCTAAAATATTTAGCATGAAACATGTTCTAATGGATGTCTACCAGGTTTGTTCAAATAAAAGCCCTTGGGTCAAAATTGGCCCCGCCCCGGGGGTCATTGACTTTCCTTATATGTGTATAGCAAAAACTTAAAAAAAAAACAAAAAAAAAAAAAAAATAGCTAGAGTTTAGATACTAAGCATGAAACATCTTCTAGTGAGTGTCTACCAAGTTTGTTCAAATAAAAGCCCTGGGGTCAAAATTGGCCCCGCCCCGGCGGTCATTGATTTTCCTTATATGTGTATCACAAAAACTTAAAAAATTCCTTTGAAAAAACTCAAATAGCTAGAGTTTAGATATTAAGCACGAAGCATCTTCTAGTGAGTGTCTACAAAGTTTGTTCAAATAAAAAGCCCTGGGGTCAAAATTGGCCACGCCCCGGGGGACATTGATTTTCTTTATTTGTGTATAGCAAAAACTTAACAAAAATCTTCTTTGAAAAAACCCCAACGAGCTAGACCTTAGATGTTTAGCATGAAACATCTTCTAATGGGTGTCTACCAAGTTTGTTCAAATAAAAGCCCTGGGGTTTAAACTGGTCCCGCTCTGGGGGCCTATATACAGGTGAGCGACTTCAGGGCCATCATGGCCCTCTTGTTTATTGTTCTCTCTGCTAATAAGTACAATAACAATGAATTAATATTTGTATGGAAGTCAAAATACTAAATTGTTTACATTTTGCTACTTTAATGACAGATAAATTCACATTCAGTGTTACTTTTTCAGGAGATAAGCTTCTGAAGTGCTCTAAAACCATTATTTAAATGTTATAAAACCCATGTTTGACTTTTCTAAAGAATAAAAAGAAATGTATTCATTTCTGAGGCATATTGTGCCTTTAAAAAATACAAAATAAAATAAAAAATAAATAACAAACATAAATAGAAATTAAAAAAAAATGAAAAGTGAAAAATAAATGAAAAGTGAAAAAAAATAAAAAATAGATAAATAATAAGTAAAAAAAATAATAAGATAAAAAAGCTACAAAAATAAAGATGAACACAAAAAAAGTATAATAAAAAAAAAAAGGAATGATGGTTAGGAAACTTAACCCGCCTACAGTATATGACTGAAATACTGTTGTGAAAAGGCGTAAAATGAAACAAACAAACAAACAAACAAATATTATTAGCTTAGCGTTAGAAAAAAATTTAAATTTAAAAGTAAGTAAAAATCATAACTGGTAATGTAAATGAGGATCAGAAATCCTCGTGTTTTAAAAATGCAACAAAACTGATAATTTATTTGCAACAGTTTCATTACAAAGGTTAGCTGGAAATTCAAATAATATCATACAAAAATTAATTCATTCTCGATCAAACCCCTATTAAAAATGGTCACTTTAAAAACAGAAGTGGTACATGTGCGTACATCTTAATTGTTCAGACTTCGGTTTCAAAACTTTCTGATTTATAACATGAAAACAATTATTCGAAGCACTTGAATAGGCAGATCAAATGAGAAATGAAAGTTAGGTACTCATTTAAGTAATTCTGTGTTTGGGGTTAACAGATATTAATAACGTCCCCCGCATTTTTCATCTCTTTTAACCATAAAATTGTTAAATGTAATCCAAGGTAAATGTTCCTGGATACTCTATCTGCAGAACGTGAAACAACTTCGAAGAACCTGCATTTGCCGCAATGACGCTATTGAAAGGCGAAGATTCCCGTACTAATGCATGTGAAAACGTATTCCAGTACCATATTCCTTTACCCATATGATCACATGGCAGGGTTTTTTTTTACTTACAAATTGACACCGATAGTCGGCGTCTTCCCCTCGGTAAATAGCCAAGTTTTTTCCCCAAAAATTCTATTTTCCCTTTGAACTGTTAAGGGATTAAATACTTAAAAGGTAAAAAATATTAAGTTTTTCCTTTTCAGCAAATGAAACCCACCAATTGTTGCCCAAAATATCCAAAAACATTGCAGAAAACTGCAAGTAGTGTATGAAAAATGGAGGCTGCCTTTTTTTTTCTTGGCTATTTTCCGTACTGAAAGGTACTTTAATTTCTGGAAATCAAATGCTATCAAAATATCATCATTTTCTTGGTTATTTTTAAGTAAGATAGTATAAAATCATTCACCACTATACATATTAAGATGCTATACTGCAAATAATAATACTTTGCATGATGATAAAGTATTTAAGGAAAAACAGATGTTGTTGTGACTCTGTACAATATGTAGTTAAGTATACAGTATGTATAACAGGATTTTCTGTTTACATTTTAACTTTCCCCAAATTGACTTTTTTCGTATATATTTTTCCCCTCCCTACCAGCGTCCAGCGTCTACCCCTTTTCCTGCATGGAAACTTATTCTAGTATCGTAGTCCTTTACCCATATGATCACGTGGAAACGTTAATTCCAGTACCGTAGTCCTTTACCTATATGATCACGTGGAAACGTCAATTTCAGTACCGTAGTCCTTTACCTATATGATCACGTGGAAACGCATTCCAGTACCGTAGTCCTTTATCCATATGATCACGTGGAAACGTATTCCAGTACCGTAGTCCTTTACCCATATGATCACGTGGAAACGTATTCCAGTTCCGTAGTCCTTTACCCATATGATCACGTTGAAACATATTCCAGTGCTGTGGAAACATATTCCAGTGCTGTAGTCCTTTACCCATATGATCAAGTGAAAACATATTCCAGTACTGCATGTAGTCCTTTACCCATATGATCACGTGGAAACATATTTCAGTGCTGTGGAAACATATTCCAGTGCTGTAGTCCTTTACCCATATGATCACGTGGAAACATATTCCAGTACCATAGTCCTTCACCCATATGATCACGTGGAAACGTATTCCAGTACCGTAGTGCTTTACCCATATGATCACGTGGAAACATATTCCAGTACCATAGTCCTTTACCCATATGATCACGTGGAAACATATTCCAGTACCGTTACGTCCTTTACCCATATGATCACGTGGAAACATATTTCAGTGCTGTGGAAACATATTCCAGTGCTGTAAGTCCTTTACCCATATGATCACGTGAAACATATTCCAGTACCATAGTCCTTCACCCATATGATCACGTGGAAACGTATTCCAGTACCGTAGTGCTTTACCCATATGATCACGTGGAAACATATTCCAGTACCATAGTCCTTTACCCATATGATCACGTGGAAACATATTCCAGTACCGTTACGTCCTTTACCCATATGATCACGTGGAAACATATTCCAGTGCTGTAGTCCTTTACCCATATGATCACGTGGAAACATATTCCAGTACCATAGTCCTTTACCCATATGATCACATGGAAACATATTCCAGTACCCATATGATCACGTGGAAACGTATTCCAGTACTTTAGTCCTTTACCCATATGATCAAGTGGAAACGTATTTCAGTACCGTATTCCTTTACACATATGATGAAAATGTATTCCCGTACCATTGCACCTGGAAACATATTCCCGTACTGTATACTTTTACCATATGCTTTGAGCACTCTATTTTACCCTATTCTTACAATCTTGATAGATCTACATTTGGGCATCAAATTTATAATTAAAAAACCCATAAAAATAATTAGTTACAGAATCTTAAAATTTCTATATCCTTCACAATATTTTCATCTCGCCTTTTTATTTGGATAATTCTTTTAATGATTCTGTACAAATAAAAAGATAACATGTTAAATCAATACACTAATATTGATAATTATTGAAGTTGATTGTATAACTTTTAATGTAATTACATTGTATTTGGTTAATCACTTGAAGTTTACCTATGTTTATGTGACTTAATCTTTTAATGGACTGCGGTTGTATTTTTAGAACTGGCGAAAGTTCTGTTACTCTCTCTCCCTTTGATTGAGAGTAAATTAATTACTCCCTAATCTAATATAACAAACCAAAGACAAACATAGGAATGACACTCTGTATTTGGCAATAATTATCAACAATTCAATCGAGCAAATTCTTTAATATTAATCTTGTCCAAGTCAAACAGCATTTCTGTAGTATTCTAAAAGGCACTGAAACGAGACTAACACTAATGTTAATAAAATATCGTAAAAATGAATGGCGATGTTACAAACTGAAAAGAAATGTTGTCTTAATATTGTCAGTTTAACAATTAATAGAAATAAAATATATTTGTACATTTTCTTAATTGTATGGGCAGGACAGTGGGGTGTACATGAATATCTACATGTAAATACTGTAGTACTGGCAAAATACTTGTGTCGAGTAAAATAGGCGGACTAACAAGTCTATATATATCAGATATTCACGAAAAAAACTTGAAATTAATGAGGAAAACTAAAACATCTTAAGGTGGTATACACCTAAGCAGTTAATATATTGGACACAAGAATAATTTCATTTTATCGTGCTCGCACTAAAGTAATAAAATTTGCAGTTTTCACAAGCTAACTGTGACCTAACAGTTGTTATGTTTCACTTAACACAGATATAAACAACCCTTTTATTACCCCCCCTAATTTATTGTTCAAAAATGGTCTAAACATTTATCCATAAGAATTCGAAAAGTGCGACATACCTATAGTTTTGACAGCGACAATGCTCACGTTTATGTGACAATTGATCACATTTTTCCTCTTAACATCTATTATGCCAAGAATATTTTACCAAAAAATTCATGATTGCATTTTGAGTGAATAATAGGCCTTTCTGAACTTTGGTTTCAGCACGTTAATTTCCGTAATTAAGTGATGGAAGGAAAACATGTTGTCGTTATTGGTGGAGGGTCATGCAGAATGAAAAACTTCTGGCAGGATGCTGAAAGCTATGGTATAAAGGTACGTGCATTAACATCTGTGCACCAATTTGTTTATAAAATAACTGGTTGCATGATTACCCCAAAATTGTAGTAAATATAATTGGTTAATATATTTATACATGTATATGTATTTAGCTCACCTGTCACAAAGTGACATGGTGAGCTTTTGTGATCGCTTTTTGTCCGGCCGTAAATTTTTACTTTAAACGACATCTCCTCATAAACTGCTTAGCCAATTTCATCCAAACTTCACAGGAATCTTCCTTTGAATCAACTTTAAAAATTGGTCAAAGAATTAAATTCTAAGCAGAACTCTGGCAACCGAAAGAAAAATCCTAAAATATCTTCTTTTAAAAAACTGAAAGAGCTAGAGGTTAAATATTTGGCATGAAACAACACCATCAAGTCAGTGTCTACCTAGTTTGTTCAAATAAATGCCCTGTAGTCGAAATTGGCCCCGCCCCAGGGGGGGGGGGGCATTGATTTTCTTATTTGTATGTAACTTAAAAAATCTTCTTTTGAAAAGCCCAAATACCTAGAGCATAGATATTAAGCATGAAACATTTTCTAGTGGGTGTCTACCAAGTTTGTTCAATTAAAAGCCCTAGGGTCAAAATTGGCCTGGCCCCATGGATCATTGTTTTTCCCTTTATGTATATAGTAAAAACTTAAAATATCTTCTTTAAAAAAAAACCTAAGAGCTAGAGCTCAGATAGTAAGCATGATACATCTTCTAATGGGTGTCTACCATTTTTGTTAAAAAAAGGGCCCTTTGGTTAAAATTGGCCCCGTCCCGGGGATCATTGATTTTCCTTATATGTATATAGTAAAAACTTAAAAAATCTTCTGTTAAAAAACTCAAAGAGCTAGAGTTTTTTATTAAGCATGAACTATCTTCTAGTAAGTGACTACCAAGTTTGTTCAAATAAAAGCCCTGAGGACAAAATTGGCCCGGGGGGGGGTTCTTTGTTTTTCCCTATATGTGTATAGTAAAAGCTTAAAAAAAGCTTCTTACAGCTAGAGCTTAGATATTTATCATGAAACAGCTTCAAATGGGTGTCAACCAAGTTTGTTCAAATAAAGGCCCCTGGGTTAAAATTGGCCCCGTCCCAGGGGCCTATAGACAGGTGAGCGATTTCAGGGCCATCATGGTCCTCTTGTTTTTATGTCAACCCATCTTTGTCTAAATTTCATGATTTCAGCTAAAAACGATATTGTTAATATGTGCAGATAATGATATGAAAGAGGCATTTGTTATTCGAAATTTATTCATTTATAAGTATAATGACCTAACTTTAAAATACATGTATGTATTATATGAAAATATATATGTTTAAGTACATATGATTAAACTTTTGTAATATGTTATTATAGATATGTCACATATTTATCATAATTCAGATGATATACATGTACATAAAATGTTTGGTCTGTTCTGTTCTCTACAACATATGAGCCGTGTCACCACAAAACCAACATAATGGGTTTGCGACCAGCATGGATCCAGACCAGCCTTCGCATCCGTGCAGTCTGATCAGGATCCATGCTGTTCGCTATCAATTTCTCTACATGTAATAGGGCTTGTAAGCGGACAGCATGGATCCTGATCAGACTGCGCGGATGCGCAGGCTGGTCTGGATCCATGCTGGTCGCAAACCTGTTATGTTGGTTTTGTTGTGACACGGCTCATATTAGGTTCGGCTAGAGATGATAAAAGATAAGCTCTAGAAATCAATGAAGGGATTTTGTCTAACTACGAAAACATTTATTATAAATACAATAACTATTACTGATTCCAGGTCATACATGTAGAATCTGATCCAAATCACTTTGCAAGAGATCTTGTGCATGGTTTTATAGAGTATGATTTCACTGATCATTCGAGGGACCAAATGCATGCCGAAAATATAATAAATACGATACATGGTATGGGGATGAAGATTGATGGTTGCATATCATTTATAGACGTGTTAATACCCTTAGTTGGGCTCATTTGTGACTCATTAGAATTAAGAGGTATGATATTAATTTTAGTTTTTAGCTTTTTGAGATAAATCATCATTCAAAGTTAGTTCTGAGAAATTTTGCAAATTGAATTAATTTCAGCTATTCAACATGCTTTTCTGTTTGTTGTCCAATATACATGGCGGTTAATCCATTTAAGATATAGAACTGTCTAATTTAGTTATATTTCTATAAATCTCTTTATATAGTGCCAACTGCTTTTTTCCGATAGGCAGTGTGAAGTTGTGTTTTTATAACACCATTTGCATTTTAAAACGAATTTTAACACTGGTGTTCTTAGCATCAATTCTTATCTGTACATGTATATGCATATAAAACATAAACGTGATAAACATTTATAACTAATTCAGGACTGAGTTACAATTCAGCGATTATAGCGTTGTCGAAATCACAAACACAGAATGTGCTGAGCATGAACATAAATGAAGATGATGCGTCAAATGCTGGTGTATTTTCTTCAAAGGCAGTCCATCTACAAAGTGATTCGGACTGTGAAATGTTACCGGAAAGGTTGACTATTACATATTATTCCCTATTTAATTTTTTGTTGAGTTATGTAAGGTTATTTAGAATGTGTGTACATATCGCTCAAATAACTCGCATTGATTAGTTGAAAACATGAAAATAGATAGCTCATTTAATGTGGTCATCAATTTTTGTGCCCCTTAATTGCAGGCATTTAAATTTACCCTTGTCTGTCCTTCCATCCGTCTGTCTGTTCTCTTTTGTGTCGAAACTCAAAAAGTATTTGACCTAGAGTCATGAAACTTTACAGGAATGTTGATCAGCATGTGCAGTTGTGCACCTGGGTATTTTCCTGTGGATTTATTTCGTATTTTTAGAGTTATTGCCCTTGACTTAGTAAAATTTTGCAATTTTCAATTTGTGTCTCATGTAATTCAAAAAGAATTTGACCTTGAGTAATGAAGAATGTTGATTATCATGTGAAGATGTGAACCTGGGTATTTTTGTGTGGATCTATATAGTATTTTAGAGTAATTGCCCTTGACTTAGTAAAATTTTGCAATTTTCAACTTGTGTCACATGTCAAAAGAATTTGATATGGAGTCATGAAACTTTACAGGAATGTTGATCAGCATGTGTTGTTGTGCACCTGGGTATTTTCCTGTGGATTTATTTCGTATTTTTAGAGTTATTGCCCTTGACTTCTTAAAATTTTGCAATTTTCAACTTGTGGCACATGTAACTCAAAAATGATTTGACATAGAGTCATATAACTTTACAGGAATGTTGATCAGCATTTGTAGTTGTGCACCTGGGTATTTTTGTGTGGATCTATATAGTATTTTTAGAGTAATTGCCCTTGACTTAAAAATTTTTGCAATTTTTAACTTGTGTCGCATGTAACTCAAAAAAGGATTTGACATAGAGTCATTAAACCTTACGGGAAGGTTGCTCATCATATGTAGTGGTGCACCTGGGGTTTCACTTGTAGATTTATCCAGTATTTGTAGAGTTATTTCCCTTGACTTAGTAAAAACCGTTTCATTATGTTGTTATTTGTTCCTTAAGTGCTTGAGTAAGAATCAACACACTTTACAGGAATAATGATCAACATCACTATGCACTTGGGACTTTGCATGTGGATTTTTTTCAGTTTTGTTAGAGTTATTGCCCTTGACTTACAGTAGTATAAATTTGCAATTTTCATCTTGTTCATGCATAGCTCAAAAAGTATTTGACTCCTAGGCCTGAAAGTTTTCAAGAATGTTTGTCAGCATGTGAACTTATGCACCTTGGGGTTTGCTTATGGATTTATTCAGTATTTGTATCAGTGCCCTTTACATAGTAAAAGATTTTTAGTTATCAACTTTTGGTACATGTAGTCCAAAAAATATTTGACCTAGAGTCAAGATTGACAGAACAGTGGCGTGTGGGGGCACCGTGTCCTATGGACACATTTCTAGTTTTTCATCTTTTTTTATGCCCCCGCCATGTAATGGCCGGGGCATATAGTGTTACCCTGTTCCGTCCTTCCGTCATTCCGTCCTTCCGTCCTTCCGTCATTCCGTCCTTCCGTCATTCTGTCATTCCGTCATCATCAGTTTCCGTTCATTATCTTAGTAACGGTTGCACATATTCAACTCAAATTTGACATATGGATATGTCATGAGAAAATACAGGTCAAGTTCGAATTTGGTCATGGTTCGATGATTTTTGGCAGAGTTATGCCCCTTTTACTTTGAAAATAATATGAAATTTTCAGTTTCCGTTCATTATCTCCCCAACCGTACAACACATTCAACTCAAATTTGACACATGGATATGTCATGAAACAATACAGGTCAAGTTCGAATTTGGTCATGGTTCGATGATTTTTGGTAGAGTTATGCCCCTTTTACTTTGAAAATAATATGAAATTTTCAGTTTCCGTTCATTATCTCCCCAACAGTACAACATTTTCAACTCAAATTTGACATATGGATATGTCATGAGAAAATACAGGTTAAGTTTGAATTTGGTCATGGTTCGATGATTTTTGGCAGAGTTATGATCCTTTTACTTTGAAAATAATATGAAATTTTCAGTTTCTGTTTATTATATCCTCAACATTACAACACATTCAACACAAATTTGACATATGGATATGTTTTTGGAATGCCCAGGCCCAGTTCTAATTTGTTCATTGTTCAATGATTTTTGGCAGAGTAATGCCCCTTTCACTTTGAAATTAATATGAAATTTACAGTTTCTGTTCATTATCTACCCAACAGTGTTACATATTCAACTCAAATTTGACATATGAATATGTCAAAGGAATGGGCAGGTCAAGTTGGAATTTTGTCATGGTTCGATGATTTTTTTGGCAGAGTTATGTCCCTTTCACTTTGAAAATAATATAGATACATCTTAGGAATAAGCAGTTTAAGTTTGAATTTGGTCGTGGTTCAATGATTTTCGACAAACTTATCTTTCTTGAATATTGGAAAAATTTTGAACTTTCAGTTTCAGCACTCATACTTTTGTGGAAATATATGTAGCCATTATTTTGGCTACAAATATGAAATATGCTATTTTCAAAAGGTTAAGACTGAATAATTTCAGTGCCTTGAAAATTGTATGGAAATGGTTTGTGTTAACATTGAAAAGTTTTAAGGGCTTTGAACTTAAAATGAAAACAATAATTTGTGCAAACAAATTTGGAACTAAATATTATAACATCTGAAATTTTGGCTGCATGCGGGGGCATCCGTGGCATGATGACACATTTCTAGTTTTTATTATCCCTTGCTGAAAGGCGGCAGGGGATATAGAAATAGTCTCCCTCCTTCCTTCCGACATTTTTGTCCAGAGCATATTTCAACAGAATTTGAGGTAACAACTTGAAACTTCATAGGTGGATAGATCATATTGAGGAGGAGTGCAGTGCACAAGAATGATAACTACCTTGCATAATTTTTCAGTTATAAGCTATACTTTTTTTTTTGAAAAAAAAGTAGATGTATTGTGATAGTCCTGGTGGCGTTGCCGTAGCCGTTGCGGTATGCAAACTTGTACCTGGATCATAACTTTTTAGCTCACTTGTCACAAAGTGACAGGGTGAGCTTTTGTGATCGCTTTTCGTCTGGTGTCCTGCCGTCCGTAAACTTTTACTTTAAATGACATCTCATAAACCACTAAGCCAATTTCATCCAAACTTCACAGGAATGATCCTTTGGTGGTCACCTTTAAAAATTGTTTAAAGAATTTAATTCCATGCAGAACTTTGGTTGCCATGGCAACCGAAAGAAAACAACTTAAAATATCTTCTTTTAAAGAACCCAAAGAGCTAGAGCTAAGATATTTAGCATGAAACATCTTCTAAAGAGTGTCTACCAAGTTTGTTCAAATAAAAGCCCTGGGGTCAAAATTTGCCCCACCCCAGGGGGTCATTGATTTTCCTTATATGCATATAAAAAAAACTTAAAAAATCTTCTTTTAAAGAACTCAAAGCATATATGTGTATAGCAAAAATTTTAAAAATCCTCTTTGAAAAAACCCATTGAGCTAGAGCTCAGATGTTAAACATGAAACACATTCTTATGGGTGTCTACCAAGTTTGTTCTAATAAAAGCCCCTGGGTTAAAATTCGCCCTGCGGGGGAGGGGGGGGGGGTTAAGGGGGGAGGTCATTGTTTTTCATCTTACATATGTAGTAAAAACTTAACATTATGTTATATGTGTAATAAAAACTTAACATCATGAAGCATCTTCTAGTGGGTGTTCAAATAAAACTGGCCCCTCCGGGGGCCTATATACAGGTGAGCGACCTCAGGGCCTTCTTGGTGTATTGTCTTCATACTTGGCCACAACAATCCTTGGGACGAAAACTTTCAGTAGACCACACCAACCTTGACCTTCATCCATAAATGACCTTGACCTTCAAGGTCCAAAGTCCAAATTATGCTTGTTCTTGCTTTTATTGGGTGTAACTTTGTTATTTTTGAATGGATTGTCTTCAAACATGAACATAATAATCATCAAGGATAGCCCTTAAAAATAATCTGAGAGACCTTGACCTTCACTTATAAATGACCTTGACTTTGAAGGTCAAATTATTGAAATTTTTATTCTTTTGGCTATTATTGGCTGTAATTTTGTTATTTTCCAATGGATTGTCTTCAAACTTGAACATAATAATCTTCAAGGATAACCCTTAAAAAAACCAGACAGACCTTGACCTTCACTCATGAATGACCTCGACTTTGAAGGTCAAATTATTGAAATTTTCATTATTTTGGCTGTAACTGGCTGTAACTTTGCTATTTTTGGAGGGATCAACTTCATATTATAACAGAACATACTTAAGGACAAGACCTTGTTGTTTATCAAACACTTGGGATCTTTAATGACCTTGACATTGAAGTTAAATAACTGATTTTCTCAAGATTTGTGCATTAAATGATCATATATATTTATAGGTGTGTATATATATATATATATATACAGTCTAACTTGCCCATGCGACCACGTGTATTAAGCAACTTTTGTCTTAAACGACCACTTTAAATTCCCCCGGATCATTTTCTCTCTATATCTTTAATGTATTAAGCGACTTTTGCTCAACGTGACCAGCGACCGCTAATTAGTCACCTAATTGACATCAATCTTTTCATTAAACGACCACTTTTACCTGTAATTGTGTTTTTAGCGAACGCCACCTCGTTATGTCACAAGTGTCAGCAATCAAAACACAACAAGAAACTTGTGAAAAATTCTATTTCCCATACCGTTTTAGCGTATGCAAATGAAGTGAAGTATACACGTGACGTGTATTATCCAATAATATCGGATAAACAATGCAACGCTCCGCCCATACTGAGATGGTGTATACGCTTCGCTTGTTGACATTTAGACTGCTTTGAATTGACCTTGAACTTGATCAGCCATTAAATTAATTGTAACAAATAGATGTAGTTTGTTTATTTCAAATGAAAAAAAGCACAACAGAAAACATCTTCACTAATAGGGTTTTCGTGTTGGAGTCAAGGAAAAACAACGGAGAAGTTAAAAAATTCTGGAAAAAATGTCAAACATGATCAAAACTGTTTTGTCAATAAATATCAGAACGTTATTTTTACATTTGCATCCGTTTAAATGTTTAGATTATCGGAGTGTACTTATTATTCAACATTTATATAAAAATTAGGTTGATAAACAATCCCATCGAATAAAAAAGATGTCATTTATAAATTTTGACTTTTATATCATGCTGACTGTCTTAAGAGACCGTTTCATTAAGCAACTGTTTTTGGTGTTTCCCTTGCCTGGTCGCTTTATACACGTTTGACTGTATTTATATATCATCAACAGCGGCAGGGGCTGCTGCAGCTGATGATGATGATGATATATGAGGTCTTTTTGTAGAATGCATAGCGTGTATCTGTTTATAGAATGCATCGCGTTTATCTGCGGCGGCTGTGACAATGACGACAACAGGTGTATCTGTTTATAGAATGCATCGCGTGTATCTGTTTATAGAATGCATCGCGTGTATCTGTTTATAGAATGCATTGCGTGTATCTGTTTATAGAATGCATCGCGTGTTTCTGTTTATAGAAGGCATCAATTGTATTTGTTCATTATAGAATGCATTGCGTGTATCTGTTTATAGAATGCATCACGTGTTTTTGTTCATAGAAGGCATCGCTTGTATCTGTTTATAGAATGCATCGCTTGTTTCTGTTCATAAAAGGCATCGTGTGTATCTGTTCATAGGAGGCATCGCGTGTATCTGTTCATAGAAGGCATCGTGTGTTTCTGTTCATAGAAGGCATCGCGTGTATCTGTTCATAGAAGGCATCGTGTGTTTCTGTTCATAGAAGGCATCGCGTGTATCTGTTCATAAAAGGCATTGCGTGTTTCTGTTCATAGAAGGCATCGTGTGTTTCTGTTCATAGAAGGCCGTGTATCTGTTCATAAAAGGCATTGCGTGTTTCTGTTCATAGAAGGCATCGCGTGTTTCTGTTCATAGAAGGCATCGTGTGTTTCTGTTCATAGAAGGCATCGTGTGTTTCTATTCATAGAAGGCATCGTGTGTTTCTGTTCATAGAAGGCATCGTGTGTTTCTGTTCATAGAAGGCATCGCGTGTATCTGTTCATTGTACGCATCACATGTTTCTGTTTATAGAAAGCACTCAAGTTTCTGTTTATAGAAAGCATTCCATGTTTCTATTTATATATGCAAAATATATAGACAAAACTAATGTGACAAGACAGACCGATTAAATTTATAAAATAGAAACGTTAAGATTTGTTCAAACATTTCTTTGTTTGCTTTTAGAAAAAGTAAAAAAAGTCAAGAGTTGCCCCCGCCCGGCGGTGGCTCTGTTGCCCGTTGTTATTTTTCAAACTTTTTGTCCAGAGCATAACTCAAAAAGCTTGTGACATATCAACATGAAACTTCATAGGTGGATATATCTCACTCAGGAGGTGTGCAGTGCGTATGAATGATAACTCTACCCCTCATAATTTTTGAGTTATTGCCCTTTGTTATTTTTTGTACTTAATTTGAGTGGAGCATAACTCAAAAAGTCTTTGAGATGTCAACATGAAACTTCATAGGTGGATAAATCTTATTAGGAAGAGGAATTATATGCACAAGAATGATAACTCTTCCCATTATAATTTTTGAGTTATTGCCCTTTGTTATTTTTCATACTTTCTGTCCAGAGCTTATCTCAAAAAGTGTTAACAGGTATCAAGTTGAAACTTCAAAGGTGAAAAGATTTCATCAAGGAGGAGTGCAGCACATAAGAATGATAACCTACCCTGCATTATTTTTCAGTTATTGCCCTTTGTTATTTTTCATGCTTAATTTAATTTTGTCACGAGCATTACTTAAAAAGCCTTTGAGATATCAACATGAAACTTCATAGGTGGATAGATCTTATTGAGGAGGAGAGAAGCACACAAGAATGATAACTCTACCCTTCATAATTTTTCAGTTATTTTTCATGTTTAATTTTTGTCCAGAGCATAACTATAAAAGCCTTTGAGATGTCAACTTGAAACTTCATAGGTGGATAGATCTCATTGAGGAGGAGTGCAGCACATATGATAACTTACCCTGCATTATTTTCCAGTTATTGCCCTTTGTTGTTTTCAGCTATCAGTATTCACAAAGGTTTCAAATCTGTAATCACTTCAGCCATCAGTTTTCATTACCAAAAGACCTCTTAAAATTGAATTATTCTGCTCTACTACATATACATTCTTCCAATGAGCAAACACATTCGCCGAGGGATGGCCATGTTGACATGGCTCTTGTTTTATTCATATTTTTGTAGAAAAACAACTCTTTGTTGCTTCAAACTAAAATTATTTTAACTTTAATATGACAAGACTCACTTGATCTGCCTTTCAGTAGGGAAAACATATTTTATTTGTATACAGTAAAAACTCGCTAATGAGACCAAAGAAGGGACTTTACAAATCTGGTCTTAATAGCGGGTTGGTCTCATTAATGAGTTTGGCCAAACAGAAAACTAGGCAATATATTAAGGGGTACCATGTACTGTATACATGTTTAATTCTGGGCTAACCTATTTCAAATGAGAAGATATAAAGCATACTGTACACTATTATTTTTTTTATTTTCATTTATTTTCTTTTACTTTTTAACATTATAAAAATTTTAAACTTCTTTAGAGGTACAAAATGTATTATGAATGTCTTTAAACACAAACATATTTTTACATTCTTGTTAAAAGAATGACACGACTTACTCTATTAAATCACCATTTTACTACAAAGCACACCGAACAATTAACCTTTAATTATTTTCACAGTTTTCATCGCCGATAACAACTTCAAAAACCTAATCGTATTTGTTTAAAATTATGGAACGAAAGAGATAATGATAGCAGCAACACCTCTAAAAAACTTATTGAAAGTTTTCTGTTCAATACTTTGTTGTTTTAATCCCCCAGTTATGACATTAAAGGTGTGAAATTAAGAAATTATCGACAATATTATTGATCATTTCCGGGTATAATACAAAGTAACCTTGACCTCTGCCATAAACTGGATGTCGTTAAATGTCGTAAAACTAGGACAACTGTTGTTTACATCACGTGTCAAAAAGATTTCAGCAATATACACGCATGTCAATATCAAGGTGAGAAAGTGCCCGCGGTCGTATTTATGGGTTTCCAAATGTACAGAATTTACGAAATGGGACTGAATTTACTGGTCGCATTACGGAATAACGGGGTGGTCTCAAAATCGGGGTTAGCGACCATTAAAATAAAGAATAAAAAATTCGGGTCTTTAAAAAATCGTTCGTATTAGCGGGTTGGTCTCGAAAACGGGGTGGTCGTAAAGCGGGTTTTTACTGTATTATTCTATGAAAACAAATCGCAATAATTACCATCAAGACAAAAAAATAAATTTAACATCAACCATATTTTCCAATGTAGATGTAAATCAAACGCAGTATAGAAATGCTTGAATAATGCTGTACATGCATTAGCACTTATAATGAATATGATGCACTTTTGCAAGATAAAGTCACTGAAATACAGAGTTGAAATTTACTGAAATGCTTACTTTGAAACAACACAGAATTGTTTTTCCAACAAGCAATATAAGATGAAGGCTGCTTTAACTTTCCTGCGATATTAATAATAGAAAAAAAATCCCTCGTAATAACATGATGTATTCTTGATTTTTTAACTTTGTTTGTATCATATCTTTCAGTTTTAAGTTTCCAGCGATTCTCAAACTTGACAATGGTGCAGGAGGTGTCGGGGCTTGCATGATTAACAGCAAAGAAGAAATGAAGAAACAATTTCAACATATTACAAGCTCTCTGTGCTCTGATTTGGTCTATCCCGGGATTGGACTTGGTCGCGGCAATTCAATGACAACATTCGAATTTCACTGTGGTACAGAACATAATGTTGATGTCATTTTGTATGACAAAACTCTTGTATGGGCATCTATAACTGATAGCGGGTTAGTGAGACAGCCATATTATATAGGTAATTTCTATAGGTTAAGAGGTATAGGTAAATTGGTAGAAAATATTTTCGAGTTCGTGTTTTGCTGATAACTTTAAAACTTAATGCTAATACACTGGAGCCGTAATATAGCGCTCTTCAATATAGCGCTAATCTCAGTAGAACGCTCACATGCCTTGGCCCCCCCCCCCCCCCCCCCCCCCCAAAAAAAAAAATCGCATTTTTCGAAGATTATATTTTTTTCATGTATATCAATACTGCATCTTATCCACTATAACCCTTGTTCAATGTGTCAGGCGAGTGCAATAAACAGTCGTAATTACTTCAATCATGATCAGAAGGTGTGAAGTCATACACAGGTAAGCGTTAATCCGCTCTTTTGTTCATTTTGAACTGTTGATCAGTCAGGTATCAAACTGTTAGCTAAGACATGCAAACACTGAAGAGTTGAGTAAATCACACAAGCATACAATTAATTTTAAAAAGCATGCACTTTTGATCTATCGGCAAAAAATTTGTTGAAGATGACTGATTTTTTCACAAGAGACAGCAGGAAAGACGATTAATTTAGTCCCATCAACTAGGTATCAATTTTCATGACTACATTAACACTGTTGTTAGTCCCCTACCGGTTTACCGGAGGGGACTTTAGGTTTACCCTCCGTCCGTCTGTCCGTCCGTCTGTCCGTCTGTCCGTCTGTCAGTCCGTCAGTCCGTCCGTCCACAAAACTGGATCCCGCGATAACTTGAAAAGTACTGAAAATATTTACATGAAACTTGGTATATGGATAGATGGCAGTATGGAGATTATGCACGTCTTTTTCTTTTCTTCCTATGTTGAAAATTCTGGTTGCTATGGCAACAAATAGGCTGAAAATATGGCAAATTTTACACATAAACTGGATCCAGTGATAACGCAAAAAGTACTTTAAATATATTTATGAAACTTGACATATGGGTAGATGGCAGTCTTGGGATTATGCACGTCTTTTTCTTTTCTTCCTATGTTGAAAATTCTGGTTGCTATGGCAACAAATAGGCTGAAAATATGGCAAATTTTACACATAAACTGGATCCAGTGATAAAGCAAAAAGTACTGGAAATATTTTTATGAAACTTGACATATGGGTAGATGGCAGTCTTGAGATTATGCACGTCTTTTTCTTTTCTTCCTATGTTGAGAATTCTGGTTGCTATGGCAACAAATAGGCTGAAATTATGGCAAATTTTACACATAAACTGGATCCAGTGATAAAGCAAAAAGTACTGGAAATATTTTTATGAAACTTGACATAATTATGGGTAGATGGCAGTCTTGAGATTATGCAAGTCTTTTTCTTTTCTTCCTATGTTGAGAATTCTGGTTGCTATGGCAACACATAGACTGAAAATATGGCAAATTTTACACATAAACTGAATCCAGTGATAACTCAAAAAATACTGGAAATATTTTAATGAAACTTGACATATGGGTAGATAGCAGTCTTGAGATTATGCATGTCTTATCTGTTCTTCCTATTTTGAAAAAATATCAGTTGCCTTGGCAACAAATAGGCTTAAAACATGGCAAATATAACAATATTTGTGATTAGTCAAAAAGAGCTGAAAATTTTTATGAAATTGCATCTTTAATTCAAGAGTTATCTCCGCTTTAAGAATTTTGCTTTTAAAATGTTATATTTTGGTAACAGGGATGTTTTAAATATTAACTTTAGAGTGTCCTTCAGTCCGTCTGTCTTTCTGTTCATAAAAACTGTTTCCTGTGATCACTTTTAAAGAACTTTTCCAACAAGTTTACTTAAAATGGAGAAAAATTGAAACATTAGTGAATGGCCAATGGCCCTTCAGAATGTTGATGGGGTTCTAACCGGTAGGGGACATATGGATTGCTTGCAATACTATGATAATTGCTTGTTTTACTGGAAATTTATATACATTTGTGGTTTATATTTTTTAATTTCATGGTTATATTAAACATATTATTCAGTAATGCTTTACAAAATAATAAATAATAATATATAAAAAAGTTTGGACTGATATCAACTGATAGGTAAGTAAACAATCAATTCCACTAACAAGCGTCATATGTTTCGGCGATAGGTGGGGTAATGCGATATTTTCGCTATAATTACAAAATGAGCGTTATAAAAAGTTACTCGTTACAACGCTGTCTTGAGATCATTGACCCCAACATGAGCGCTATAACGGAGCTCCAGTGTACAACTTATTTCACACGAGATTGAATGTTTTTGCTACTCCTTTGCAAGTAATAGAAAGAGCATTGAAACACCAGGCTATTCTATTTGTACAAGGGGGCGTACCCACCGAGTATAAATCAGATTGCCTAGTGCCTTGATGTTCTTTCTCTTTTGTATCATAGACACAAATGATATTAAACCCCAGAAAAATGTAACCAATGCATGAGAATCTGAGTATGTTCTTTTCTATAGTTATCTTGTGGTTGCAATAAGTAAACCACAGCTATAGAGTGCAGGTAAACTCCAGTTAATTCATATTGCATGCATATGTATACGAAACAACTCCAACACATTTTTAACAGAAAAAGTCCCCAAACTATGACACAACAAGAATAAATACTTGGATTGAAACATTTTACACTACAAACTTAATTATTTTAAAATTGGTATATCCAAAACACCTCTTAACACCATTTTAATTTGAATGCATGAATCAAATGAATTTTGTAAACAAGAGATTTATGATAACATTTTTTAAAAACATTTTGCCTTCATTTTTCACTCATTAGGTACTGCTAAACGTCTACCTTCATATCTACCAGATGACAGCCGTAGAAAGCTAATAGACGCTGCCTTCAAATGTTGCTTAGGGATAGGTAATTTCAAATTTATTCGAAATCTATCTATATTAAAATATAAGATAAAATACCAATATTGAGACGCAACTCCTACGATCAAAATTTTAAACGTGTTTGTACATAGATATTGTAAACTATTTTTATGGTCCCTGAAAAATTTCAGGGAAGCATATAGTCGGCGCCTTGTCTGTCCGTCCGTCCATCTGTTAGTCTGTTGGTCCATTGTCTTGTCACGAGCATAACATGAAAACCCTTGGAGATAATTTGTTTAAACTTCATAGAGCGGTAGAGGGCATTGAGGCGGAGCGCAGTGTCAAAGAACCAAAACTCTATTATACCTGGTTTTTGAATTATCTCCCCTTATAGAAAAATTTTGTCCGGACATAACTCTAAAACTATAAGAGATATCAACTTGAAACTTAATAGGTGAATAGATCTCAATGGGTAGATGTGTAGTGCATAAGAACAATAACTCTTTTTGTCCTAATTTTGGAGTTATTGCCCTTTGTTAATTTTAACACTGAACTTTGTCCTGAACATAACTCTAAAACTATAGAGATATCAAGATGAAACATTGTAGGTAGATAGATTTCATTGAGTAGAAGTGCAGTGCAAAAGAACCATAACTCTGTTAAGCCTCATTTTTTTATTATCTCCCATTTTAGAAAAATCTTGTCCAGGACATAGCTGTTAAACTATAAGAGATATCAACATGAAACTTTGTAGGTAGATATATCTCATTGGGTTGATGTGCAGTGCACAATAATCATAACTCTGCCTTGCCTAATTCTGGAGTTATTGCCCTTTGTTTATTTTTACTTTTTGAAGTTGTCTGGGACATAACTTGGAAACCATAAGAGACATCAACAAGAAACTTTGTTGGTTGATAGATCACATTGATTAATAGTGCAGTGCAAAGAACAGTAACTCTGCCTTGCCTCATTTTGGAATTATTGCACTTTGAACTTTTTCCAGGGACATAACTCTGAAACTACAAGAGGTGTACTTTCCTGTGTCCAAAACCTATTAGGGGAGCATCACCCGGCTCAAACCGGGCTGTTGTTATTGGTCTTTTACTTTTTTTCCTCCATCTCTATAGATTTTTTATTAGTTTAAATTACTACGTTAATTCACACTCTAAAATGATGATTTTCTATTATCTAAAAAAACAATGAACAGAAAAGGATAACACCTTATCTGAGATATTATGAAAATACGTGAAATATCAAGTTTAAACAATACAACGGGAATGAGTGTGTGAGTGAGTGAGTTGGTGAGTGAGTGAGTTTCAAATACAAATACTTGATAAAGATACATAAAACAACAGTACTTATAAGTATATAAGTTATCATGTATGTGGATAATGTTAACTATAAATTTTATTACAAAAGGTCTAACAGATGGAACGTTCAATGTTGAGTTTATAATAACAGCCAACGGACCGAAACTTGTTGAAATCAATCCAAGAATGTGCGGCTACATCTTCAGGGATTGGATAATGAAGTTGTACGGAATTGATATCATGTTATATACAATGATGATATCTTGTGGAATAAAACCTGAAATACCAAACATCACAACGGGCACAATTCAGATGGGCGTAATGGTGATACCATCTTTCCATGGAAAACTTCTTACAGATGATTATCACAGAAATAAATTGAGTGAGATGATTGATCGTGGCGAAGTCCTTTTTCTACAGTTTGATAGTGTTGAGCATCCTCCCACTAACAAGGAACCTAGTTTAGGGCCTCTGTCCACTTTCGAGGAACCGTTTGGAAATGTTTCTGTGTCTGGTACAAATCCAATAGAAGTAAAGAGAAAGTTGATGGAAATATGTAGAGCGCTCGACATTGACCAAAACGATTATCAAGTTGACACTTTTATTATAAACTTTTGATTGTCACACTAGATTATGTACAAATCGTGCGTTGTTTTCAATTGAGGGATAGAACAACCATGAATATAATCAAATATGTAAACAATTTGTATCTTTTTTTAGCTCACCAGTGCCGAAGGCTCAGGGTGAGCTATTAGTATCAAAGGGGGATACTCCGTTGTCATGCGTCAACAAACATCTTCTCTGAAACCGCTGGACAGATTTACTAAAAAATTGGTCTGTAGCATCCTTGTGACAGCCACACCTAAATTTGCTCATATGATTTCAATTGGCCCCTTTTAGTGGTCAAGAGAGCTAAAAATAGAAAAACCTTTAGACAGCTTTTTCTACAGAACTTATTGATGGATGATCACCAAACTTTGTTATTAGCATTCTTATAGTAATCTTTTATAAAAAATTGCTCATATTTATTTGATTGGCCTCTTTTAGGGGCTGCTAAAGCTAAAATACCCCTGACCATGGCATTTCTTAATGAAAGGGAAACAACTCATGTTGGAATGTCTTTCATACATGTGAGTGATCTGTATGCTGATGAAATTATTTGAGGTCATGACCTCAGACAAGAGAAATGATATCTATGAAATAACTTGAGCACATTATAAGGACTTAGTATCAAGCTTTATTTTGTTCATTCATATTCATTTAATTACATCACTACATGTCTATTTATATTAACGTGGTTCTATGCCACACTTTGATAAAAAGAAGGCCACTATGAACAGATTCTGATATAGTATTAACGGTGTTCTTCTATGAAAATAACACAGAATTTTTAAGAAATGCAGCATTTTCATAGGACGACAAATAAATATGGACACTAAATATGTTAGTATTTTTCCGAAGCTGTTCTACAGAAATTAGAAACATTCTCCTGTAACTATCATTGCCTTTCTGAAAGAACACTAACATATACATAATAATTACCAAAAAGCCTGTCACTAATGATGATTTTAAATTGTAAGTGTTGTCAGAAATGGGTAATACTTAATAGAAAAGACAGTATACAGCTTTTTAATACAGTAAATGCTTATTTTTTTTGTGAATTAAGAATACTTTTTACATTGAATCAATAATTACACTATGTGCTTTGTATCTGAACAGAAAACATAATTATCTGCACATTGTTTTTCATTTGACATGCTTAAATAAGACCCTGAGCCCAAAACTCACTATGGCAAATTATATCTGTGGTACTATAATTTCTTGTGTATGCATTCTTGTTAGCTTATAATTTAATGTTGTGTATGCAATCTTGTTTTCTAGGTAACAATAAAATAAAATCATCAAATAACATTTAGCTCTAGAATTCAGACTCCCATTAACTCCCATTCTGTTCATCTTTCTAGGTCAGTGTACTCAGTAGAGAATTTTTCCACAGGAAATAAAATTAGGCCTAAAGAAAGAATACATTTGATTCTGTAACTTACAAACAAAGATGCTCTATTTTTTTATTGAATTTTGTTAAAAATTGTTGTTTTTTTTTGTCAATTTTTGTTGAATTGGATTCAAACTTGGAGAAAGCACATTTCAATAAAATTTGCCTGATGTTTTTCATGTGCATAATTGAATTTTGGTGTCAGTTGAGCTGTTATTTATATTTTTGAAAGATACCACCTACTTCCTTGTTGTTTTTTATGGTACAGACTTGAAATTTGGGTCAGGAATGTAATTTCTGATGCAAATTGAATTAAGATAGTAACTGACTACTTTTGATAGTAATGATATCGTTTGACCTTGTTTCTTGTTTTTTTATGTACTTAATTGAAATATTTGGATAATGGGTTTAATTTCTGATCCTGAATTGAATTTTTATATCCTCTAGCCTACTTTTGATATCATATGACCTTTTTTTAGCTCGACTTTTTTTGAAAAAAAGTAGAGGTATTGTTATAGTGGCGGCGGAGTAGCCGTTGCCGTCTGTCCAACTTGTACCTGGATCATAACTTTTTAGTTCTTGATGTATTGTCTTCATACTTGGCCACAACAACCCATGGGACAAGACCTTTCAGTAAACCAAACTAACCTTGAACTTCATCCATAAATGATCAAGGTCAAAAGTCAAAAATTTGCTTGGTCTTGCTATTATTGGCTGTAAAATGGATTGTCTTCAAACTTGAACATTATAATCTTCAAGGATATCCCTTAAAAATAACCAAACAGACCTTGACCTTCACTCATAAATGACCTGATATCAGTTTTTTTACTTACATGAACATACTTGAAATTTGTACAAGGGGTGTAATTTCTAATGCTGAATTTAATTTTGTTATCATCTGGCCTTCTTATGATATTTTTTTACCTTGTTTGGCCTTTTGTCATTTTTTTTTAAGTACAGTTATGCTACCATATAGGATTTATAAAAAGTTTGTTGTCCCAAACTGTCAACACCTTACATATTTTGCATGTGACATTTTGTGTATTCATTCACAAAAATTATATAAAAAATTGTTCCATCAAAATTAATTGTGCTAGTGGTCATTTATTCTGCATTATTTTATTCTACATAGTCTCATGGGAACACACTTGCAACATAGATATTTTTAACAAAGCCTTTTCAAAATATTAGGGCAAAATATTTCAATAACTAGAAGGGCAAGTAAAAATTGAGCTGGACTGGCCTTTTAGCAAGTTTATTTGAAAAATAACACTGAAAAACAGTTATTTCTGGTGAGCAACTCCAGGCCATCATGGCCCTCTTGTCTTAAATATTGAAGACATTTGAATACCAGTTAAAATACATAAAATAAAATGTAGTGCAATGCTTTATATCATAGTTTTTTTTTTAGCTCACCTGTCACAAAGTGACAGGGTGAGCTTTTGTGATCGCTTTTCGTCCGGCGTCCGTAAACTTTTACTTTAAATGACATCTCCTCATAAACCACAAGGCCAATTTCATCCAAACTTCACAGGAATGTTCCTTTGGTGGTCACCTTTAAAAATTGTTCAAAGAATTTAATTCCATGCAGAACTCTGGTTGCCATGGCAACCGAAAGAAAAAACTTTAAATATCTTCTTTTAAAAAACCATAAGAGCTAGAGCTAAGATATTTGGCATGAAACATCTTCTAGTGAGTGTCTACCAAGTTTGTTCAAATAAAAGCCCTGGGGTCAAAATTGGCCCCGCCCCGGGGGTCATTGATTTTCCCTATATGCATATAGTAAAAACTTAAAAAATCTTCTTTTAAAGAATTCAAAGAGCTATGGCAAAGATATTGAGCATCAAACATGTTCTAATAGGTGTCTACCAAGTTTGTTCAAAGGAAAGCCCTGGGGTCAAAATTGGCCCTGCCCCAGGGGGTCATTGATTTTCCCTATATGCATATAGTAAAAACTTAAAAAAATCTTCTTTTAAAGAACCAAAAGAGTTAGAGCTAAGATATTTGGCATGAAACATGTTCTAATAAGTGTCTACCAAGTTTGTTCAAATAAAAGCCCTGGGGTCAAAATTGACCCCGCCCCGGGGGTCATTGATTTTCCCTATATATGCATATAGTAAAAACTTAAAAAATCTTCTTTTAAAGAACTCAAAGAGCTATGGTTAAGATATTTAGCATCAAACATGTTCTAATAGGTGTCTACCAAGTTTGTTCAAATAAAAGCCCTGGGGTCAAAATTGGCCCCGCCCCGGGGGGTCATTGATTTTCCTTATATGCGTATAGCAAAAACTTAAAAAATTTTTTTGAAAAAACCCAAATAGCTAGAGTTAAGATATTAAGCATGAAACATCTTTTAGTGAGTGTCTACAAAGTTTGTTCAAATAAAAGACCTGGGGTCAAAATTGGCCCCGCCCCGGGGTCATTGATTTTCCTTATATGTGTATAGCAAAAACTTAAAATCTTCTTTGAAAAAACCCAAATAGCTAGAGTTTAGATATTAAGCATGAAACATATTCTAGTAAGTGTCTACAAAGTTTGTTCAAATAAAAACCCTGGGGTCATAACTGGCCCGGCCCCAGGAGTGTCATTGTTTTTAACTATATGTGTATAGTAAAAACTTAAAAAAAATCTTCTTTTAAATAGCCCAATGAGATAGAGCTTAGATGTTTAGCATGAAACATTTTCTTATGGGTGTCTACCAAGTTTGTGCAAATAAAAGCCCTTTGGTTAAATTGGCCCTGCAACGTTTGGGGGGGCCTATATACAGGTGAGCGATCTCAGGGCCATCATGGCCCTCTTGTTTCTTTGCTGTACGCCAATTACCTTATTTGGCCATATCAAGGCGGTCTATAGATTTAACTGGTTTTCCTTGGTAACAAACAAGTACTCAAATGACCGACTTCTTATCCCACATGATTTTGCATCATTAGACCTGAGATCAGTTGTCATGGACAAATTTCCCCTTAACTGAGAATTAAACCAGAGACAACTTCCCCTTGCGAAAAGCAGCCGGAAATTCTGTTCATATTTTTGTAGCATCGACTTTTTGGGTACTTATCATCTTATGGAAACTATTAATTTATCACATACCCATGCCGGCTTTTCGACTGTGTAAAATGGTATTGCACAGTCGTGCATATATTTTGACTTGACGTCATTTGCGTTATACAAACGCGCTAAATGTTAGCGTTACACATTAGGCGAGCTAATAAAAAATAGTTCTTTGGAACTTTACAACAGTCTTTATTTAGGGGATGTGATAAATAGAATATATTACTCATCTTGGGTGAGCTTTTGTGATCGCTTTTTGACCGTCCGTCTGTCGTCCGTAAACTTGAACTTAAAATGCCATCTCATAAAACACTAGACCAATTTCATCCACACTTCACAGGAATGTTCCTTTGGTGGTCACCTTTAAAAATTCTTCAAAGTATTTAATTCCATGCAGAACTCCAGTTGCCATGGCAACCGAAAGAAAAAAAATAAATATTTTCTTAAGAAAAAAATCAAAGAGCTAGAGCTAAGATATTTGGCATGAAACATCTTCTAGTGAGTGTCTACCAAGCTTGTTCAAATAAAAGCCCTGGGGTCAAAATTGGCCCCGTCCCAGGGGGTCATTGATATTACCTATAAAAAGTATATGCTTCTAGTAAAACCTTAAAAATCTTTGAAAAGAACCAAAAGAGCTAGAGCTAAGATATTTAGCACGAAACATCTTTAATGGGTGTCTACCAAGTTTCTTCAAATGAAAGCCCTAGGGTCAAAATTGGCCCCACCCCAGGGGGCATGCATTTTTCCTATATGCTTACAGTAAAAACTTGAAAAATCTTCTTTTAAAGAACCCAAAGAGCTTGAGCTTAGCTATTAAACATCTTCTAGTGGGTGTCTACCAAGTCTGTTCAAATAAAAGCCCTGGGGTCAAAATTGGCCCCGCCCCAGCTAGGGGGTCATTGCTTTTCCATTTATGTATATAGTTAAAACTTAAATAATCTTCTTTAAAATAATCTTAATAGCTTCTTTTAAATAACCATAAGAGCTAAAGCTGAGATATTTAGTATGAAACATCTGCTAATGGGTGTCTATTATTTTTGTTCAAATAAGGGCCCTCGGGTTAAAATTGGCCCCGCCACGGGGATCATTGATTTGTCTTATATGTATAAAGTAAAAACTTAAAAAAATCTTCTGTTAGAAAACCCAAAGAGCTAGAGTTTAGATATTAAACATGAATTATCTTCTAGTGATTGTCTTCCAAGTTTGTTAAAATAAAAGCCCTGGGGACAAAATTGGCTCGCCCAGAGGGGGGGGGGGGTCATTGTTTTTCCCAATATGTGTATAGTAAAAACTTTAAAAAAAAATCTTAGAGCTAGAGCGTACACATTCATCATGAAACATCTTCAAGTGGATGTCGACCAATTTTGTTCAAATAAAAGCCCCTGGGTTAAAATTGGCCCCGCCACGGAGGCCTTTATACTGGTGAGCGTTTTCAGGGCCATCATGGCCCTCTTATTTTATTAAGCTTTGAACTAACACTCATTCAAGATCCTCTCAATAAGATGTATTCGATTATAGTCATTTGATATACTATTTAGCTCGGTATCGTCTATTTTATCTTTAAAAATAATTTAACTTTTTTATTTAGTTTTTGGCATTTAATGGTAAAATAATATACTAGGACGAAAAAGAAACGCCGGGTAACCTATAATGATTGTTTTAAGGGATAAATTGTATTGGATTATTATACCGGTATTCATTTTTGTATGAAATGTCATCTGTAAGGAACCAGCTGTTGAAGTTTCAATCGATTTCCGATGCTGATTATGTGAAAAAATACCACCTTTTAACGATGACCCTTCTTGTTTTGCGAAACACGACCGGACATATCAGTATCTTGTGTGTCCTCCATGCGCAGCTGTGGCAGCCCTGATCCGTCTATGCATGGAATTCACCAGGGTGTTAATCATGGCCATGGGGATGTTATTCCCTTCTTCATGCAAGGCATGTGTCAGCTGGACATGATTAGTGGGGGCATTTGGACGTCTCCTTACCCTCCTATCCAGTTCGTACCACAAATGTTCAATTGGGGACAAATCTGGACTGAATGCTGGCCAATCGAGTGGGTGTATGTTACTGTTGGCAAGAAATTGCTGGCAAACTGGCGACATGGGGCATTATATAAATCTGACCGATTTTCATTATTTTAGGCCAAGTGTACCGGCGTTTCTTTTTCGTCCTAGTATAGATCGTTTTATTTGTTTGGGTCGTCAGACCAAACAAATAATGGTACCGAAATTTCAGAGTCTAATGTTGTTAATTGCAAATGCCGAAAGTAGTCCACTTTTTTGAAGCGGTTACTTCCCTTTCTATGTACACTAATGCCGAAAAATTCAGGGGAGATCACTGCGTAAAGATGGTCTAAGACAGGCACATTAATTTTCAAGCAAAATAATTCCGGAATGGTCGAAGATTTCTAATATTGTTTTATTGTATTTTCTGATCGAAAATAAGTAAATACAAAGCGGACATTCAATCTCTGACACAGAAGTTTACGACAAACCTAACAACAAGTAGTTCTCAAAACAGCTTAAAACTATCGATTTAAAAGAAAGAAATATTTTTATTTTGTTACAAGTATCCAACAAATTACAACGCATTCAAAGTTTAAAAATAGCGGTGGCTTATAGAATTGTCAATAAATGCATAATCACAAATTACGCGGATGAATATGATTTTATCAATGAAAATACTATTTTTAGCGATGTCGATTACCGAATACTACACAAACCGAGTAGTGGAATATATAGATTCTACATGTCGGACTGTTTGGGTGAGAAGATTTTCGCTAAATTATTTACTACAATTTTAAACAACAGGTTTATCATGAACTACCGAAATGCAATGGAAGTTCTAAATTAAGAATGACTTGATGTTATTCAGATATTGTTTGTATAACTTCTCCGTGGGGCAGGGGTAACGCGCTCGCTTAGTGAGTGAGAGGTCTGGCCCCGTGTTCACAAAGAAAAGATCAGGATCAAGTGATCCTGATTTTTTTTTATATAACTAATATTGATCGTATTTTGCTAGAATTGAATGGTACATAAAGTTAATGTAATATTTTGCTGATTTGCAAAGAAACAATCCTGTTTTGGAATAAAATAGACAAATAACGAAACAAATACAAAAATAATGGGATCAAAATGAGGATCAATTTTAGGATCAAGATCAATATTTGGATTAACTGTAAAATGCCCATATCTTTCAAAAATTACAATAAATTTATTCTTTAATTTCAAAAACATGCTATTTCAAGTCCCGTATTATCAAGTTAATATTAGATATCTAATCTATTAGAATTTACAATGGATAATATTTGAGTTTTTAGATTTGAT